AAAACTGACAATTTACTAAACGCCTAAGACAACTGCAATAGAACAGTTTGTTTTTTTCTCCTCCTCCTTTCTTCCTCCCTGCCTTTCTTCCTTCCTCACTCATTCTCCCTCCTTCCTCCTCGTGCTCCTCTTTGTCTCCTTTCTCTCTCTGTTTTAGTAACAATCTTAGAGCACAAGTGTAAACCTTCAGTTAAACGGACAGCAGTGAGGCAGACACCGGCTTTTCTAAAATCCTTGACATCCACATGTGAAACAGAGCTCACCAAAGCTCAGCTGCACAATTCCACATGCTCCTCTCTCCATCTCTCACCCATGGAATATTTTCCCTCTCATAGCCCGCTGAAATGTCTATGCACTTCCATTCATGAAATGCTGCCTTGGGGAACCAATCTAATTAAGCATTTATCAAGAACGGGTTGAAACTCTCTCATCTATGTCCTTTCCCTGCCCCCAGAATGCACCGTTCTTAGAGGCACGTCCCTCTGTGACGGTCATACCTGTGCATTACCATGCATGGCCTGTGGTCACTTCCCATGGTGACCCTCCCCCATGTCCCCCTGGCTCTTTGACAATGGACCACACGGTGTCTGCTCTCAGGGTCTTGGTAACCCTCATGTTTCACAGTGGCCAGCAGTCAGCCAGTCTCCACGACCAACCAAGACAAAGTCAGCAGTGCAGGTCTGAAATAATTATTAAAATGAAATACAAATAGGTTAAATTTTACCCAGGCTTTTAATGATATACTTAATTGTTGCTTTCCTGTGTAGAAAATAGGCATAAGTGGCTGGGTGCAGTGGCTCACGCCTGTAATCCCAGCACTTTGGGAGGCTGAGGTGGGTGGACCACAAGGTCAGGAGATCGAGACCATCCTGGCTGACACAGTGAAACCCCGTCTCTACTAAAAATACAAAAAATTAGCCGGGCGTGGTGGCAGGCACCTGTAGTTCCAGCTACTCGGGAGGCCGAGGCAGGAGAACGGCGTGAATCTGGAGGCAGAGCTTACCATAAGCCAATATCGCCAGCCTGGGTTACAAAGCGAGACTCTGTCTCAAAAAAAAAAGAAAGAAAAAAGAAAATAGGCATAAGTGGAAATCAGTTCCCATAAAGTGACTGAAATTCCTATGACTTTGACACCACCAGCTCTGTGCTTTAATCTTTCCATTTGAAAATTCTGATTGTTATAATCAGCGAAAATGCCACCAGTTTCATAATCATAATTAGCCATCTTCCTCCTAACACAGCACGCACACACACCTGCACTCACACACACAAGCATAGGTGCACAGACCCACGCAGATGCATGCAGGCACATCCGAATTCTTTTCTCTCTGATTCTCAGCCCTCAAGCTCAGATTCTTCAGTTTCTTGCCCCATCTGGCCTGTCTTCTACAACCCTCAGTTTGAGAGGACCTGAAACTAGATTCTCACCTGGGTACTGAAGGGCTCGAATGAGGGAAACCTTTGATTCTCAAGGCTGTGGAGTCTGTGTCCTGAGCAATAGGAAAGGGGTCAGAATGCAGGGCTGCTAAGGAAGTGAATAGGAACTCCGTTTACTGGACACCTACAATGTATCTAGTTGGGTTGAGCATCTTTGCAACATAATCTCATTCTACCCTTATTTAAAAGAAAATGAGGTAGTTATTAGTCTCCCATTTTCAGTTTAAGAAACCTTGGCTTAAAAAGCCTAGTAACACACTTCAGGCTGAGATACAGATAGAAGTTATAAGACTGAAACCAGATTGAAAACTAAAACAGTCACTTTCAAATGCATGATTTTTCTGGGGTTTGGTTTCTAGCCTTTCTTTTTGCGCCTTTTAACCGCTTTTAAAACTTTAAACACACTCACTCCCATGTGCCACACCCAAGCCTTAGCTGGCGGGGGTCATGACGCTGCAGGAAGTCACCTTGTGTAGATACCATCACATCCAGGCCGCAGCTGAGCACGTGTTTGAGTTTTTTTGTAAATATGTCTTTGACTGGGGAGGCTGTACATCTTCCCTAGGTTTTACATTTCAGTCCTGTGCTTGTCCCTACATGTTTAAAAAAAAAAAAAAAAAAAGTGAGGGTGAGGGAACGCTACCTCTGCACAGCTGCAGCAGGCTCAGCCAGGAGCCCGGCGGGGCCGGGGCCCACCTGCCTGGCGCGTAACTTCATCAAGTTGTTGGTGTGCATTTTGCAATAACAAGGGACAGGCCGTGTCATCCTCATATCCTTTTAGAGTTGGAGCCATTCTTGTGACTTTTGGTGCCTGCTTCCAGACTCCCCTGTTTTTGATGAGAAAGGTGAGCAGTCGTTAGATGTCGGTGATTCTTCTTTGAAACATAAAAAAAGACATACCTGAATTGTAACTGTCATCCACTATCACGAAACTTTAAACATTAGTGTTCAGTAAACCTATTTTCCATTCAGCTGCCAACACGCTCCTTTTAACAAAAGTGTCAATCAAATTAACCCTTTTAACTCTCCCAAGGCTTTCCTCTTCCCTTGAAATGAAATCGGATCCCCCGCAGAGCTGGCGAGCCCCCATGTACCCTGGCCACTGCCAATACTTACAGGCCGATTGCTCCTCCCCTACTCATCACTCTAGATGCCCTGGCCTTGCTCCCTCCTTCAGAGGCATCCGCCTCACTCCTTTCCTTGACTTGCTGTCCCCCTCTCTGGAAAGCTCTTTCCCTCTGCTCTGTTTCTTCTCTGTTTTCAGGTCTCAATGCAAATGTCACCTCTCAGGCAAGCTCTCCAAACTGAGACAATAGGAGCTCAGTTCATGTCTATCAAAAATAGGAGCAAACAGACTTTGTAGGAGACTGAGTAGAATGTTTTACTGGGACTAGACAATATCAAACTTAGACCCCAAGAGCCCAGGAATTCATATTCAAGGTCAAAGTGTCAATGACAAGAATACTGAGCCTTACATAGGTACCGTGCTGCACCATTTATAAAGTACTTGCATACACAGGGGATCTTCACAACTCCACGAGGCTGCCAGGTCTCTCGAAAAGAGGGCTCTGATGGTCAGGGCAGCCAACAATATATATTCAAAACCAGGACCCAAAAATGCTGCCTCCAAAACAAGCCATAATTCTTCTCATCACAGCATCCTACACCATCTCCTAGTGGGTAAGACTCATAGCCCGGCACCATCATGGTTTATTTCACAGGAAGGGGCAGGGCAGGGATTAGGAGACATTTCCTGGGTTCTGGTTTCCTTGCTTCCTTGTTATGGGCCTCTCCCCTCAGAGCAGTGTTTTCTGAGAAGGCCTGGCTCTAGCTAATGACCTCAGAGACTGCAGACCTGGGAACCTGTGGAAAAGAGAAACTAAACTTGCACCTGGGAAAGTCCAGGGTTGAATAACAGAACCTCGCCTTTAAGAATTCTTGCTTTTTTTTTTTTTCCTGCCTCTGCTTTGTTGCTGAAATATACAAGAGAGAAAGAGAGCGTTCTGAACCCATTATTTATCTCCCCCTTCCAAGCAGGCAGCAGACATTCATGATTAACGATGAGGTGACTTTCTACATTGATTTAATTGAATTCTGTATCCTATCCAGGTTATTTATTTTTAAAGTTGATAAAGACCTTTTCTACTGATTCTTCTCTTCCAAACTCAAATAAAGAAATGTTTTGTATACATGATCTTCCACTAAAAAGGAGCCCAGACTCTCAGATCCTCTATTCTCTATTCTATTAGGATTGTGCTGCTGAAGACAGATGGAGTAGTGAGTGATCAATCTTTGAGACTCAGCATTCTCTCCATGTTAACCCTAACGCAAGAGAGAGGACTGGTCCACACTTAAGGCGAGAAGGTGGCCACAAGCAAGTGTTGAGGGCTGGTCTCCTTAGCTGCCCTCTGGTATCCGCAGCCCTGAATGGAGGGTTTGGGGTATTTTTCCCTGGACATCTCTACCACACCTAAGTATATGGTCTGCAAGTTTTGGAGAGAATTTCCAACCGCCACTCTACCTCCTGCCCCTCTGTACCTGTTCTCATAGGTTGAGGATATTCTCATCTCTATTAAAAGTTCCCATTCTCAATCTCTTCATTTCAATCATTGATTTAGAAAAGTAGGAGTAGAGAAGTGAAAAACGAGACTCAATCTCATTTGTGGGCTGGGCCTTGGGTTTCCTTACTTGACTGCTGTTTTTGTTTTTTTAAACATTGGTAAATCTGGTTGCCACTGAAGGCAGTAATGTGACAAAACGATGGTCCCAACTGCATTTAAATAAAAACAGGTGGGACCAAAGCTCAAGGCTCACTAGGACAAAAGAGGCTTTTCCATCAAATAACCCACTCACAGTTCCCCATCATCCGACGCGGACCCCAGGCAACTGAGCAGAGAAACTTAGCAGAGAACTCCAGCGTAGAGTTCCAGGCCCACGTCATAGAAATACAGAAAGTCGCAAGGAGTCCTTGAGTGCCAAGGCAGGGACGAAGAAAGGAAGGTGAACCAAAGGCATCTCCCTACCATCCAGCCTAGCAGACCCCACACTCCTCCTGGCCACTGTATTCCTCTACCCTTTGCTGCTCCTTCCTACTTTCTACCTAAACATTTCAGCACAGCGTGGTTGTGTGTGTGCGTGTGTGTGTGTAAACATGCATACGCCTGTGTGTGTGGTGTACATATGCTTATATAATATGTGGTTATGTATATGTATATATGAGATTACATACCATATGTTAAGGTGATATATATTACCTTAGTACAGTTTTTGGTTTTTTTACTCCAAATGTTTTCAGATCCCTCCACTTAATGTTTCAAAATAAATAGTTCCTGTATCTGTAAAGACACCTTCATATGAATTTGCTGTTCTCTTTCCCACCACCTTCTTCCCAAACACTAAATGCAGGTTAATGGTCTTTCAGGGAGACTTTCCATTGAAGGAAATCACAGACCATATATGGGGCGAATAACCCCTTCATCTGATGGAAAAACACTGGTTATTTTTTAAATTTATACAAGACAACCAATTTTGGAATTAATGAGTGAAACAGACAATTATAACTTTTGAAAAAGAGTTTATTAGGAGGTTAACAAAGGATTTCTATTGCGTCTCCAAAGACCAAGAGTGACAAGGAAGATTTATTCCAATTATGTTCTGTTTCATAGCATGCCCATCAGTTTTGTCACAATTAATTGAATTTTCCCTAAATTGCATTTAGATAAGTTTTGTTCAAGTATAACATGTTATGCAAATGCGTCTTTATGATGATAGATATTACTTGATCTTGATCCTGCTGTAGGTCTCTCTATGTGACTCAGAAGACAGATTTTGCAGCCTTATGCTGAAGAATCAAGCCAGGGAATACAGTGGGAGGTTAGAGCTGACCCCTGGAAGCCAGGGCTGATAGAAAGGTTTCTGCCTCTTTCCAAAGTGTGTTCACTGTTGGAGATGTTGGGATGAAGTAGAGTTGAGGTGTGACTGATGCCTTTCTTCTCCTCCTGGTCATGGGGCCTCTAGCACCCAAAAGTGTTGCAAGGCCCGCACCGAGCACGTGGGCCACAGGGATTAGAGATACAGGGTCCAATGGACTTGTCACATGCATTTGTGGTGGCACAGGGGTTGGAGGGGAGCCTGTGGGCAGAAAATCATTGGAGCAAGTTAGAGTATAATGAGCTGAAGAGACTGGAAAATAATAAAAGGGCTTTGTATAAGAATATTGTTCTCCTTTGGACTGCCTCCAAACAAAAGCTCGAAATTATAAATTCATTTCATCAAGAAGACTATTCATCTCCACAGCAACCTCACATGCCCCAAGGAAAAGATTACTACCCCCATACTGACTTGCAGTCCTCGCTCTCCAGGAGGCTCCGGTACGTGTTGATCTCACACTCTAGCCGGGCACGCACGTCCAGCAGCACCTGGTACTCCTGGTTCTGCCGCTCCAGGTCACAGCGGATCTCCGCCAGCTGCGACTCCACATTGGTGATCAGGCTCTGTAACTGGGACAGCTGGGAGCTGTAGCGGGCCTCGCTCTCCGTCAGTGTGTTTTCAAGAGAGTCTCGCTGTGGTGGGGAAGATCAGGAATGTCAGAGAGCTGCTCCTAATAAGGTTCCTCCATGGGGTTCCAAAGAACTCACAAGCTCCAAGAGCTAAGGAGAGTGTGTGGCCCCAAGGGCATCCCCGAGACTCTGCCTCCCAACTTCCCATCGCTCACCAGCAGGTCAGAACAATACAAAATACCAGGTTGTGCTGGGCCTGCAGCTCGATCTCCAGGGCATTGACCGTGCGTCTCAGCTCGATGATCTCCGCCTGGTAGGACTGCAGCTGCTCTGCGCTGGATACCACCTGCTTGTTCAGCTCCTCGGTCTGAAACACCCAAGTAGGGAAAGGATCAGACCCTGCCTCCAGGGCCCTGGGGCACCTCGGGTCCTGAGTGGCCATGTGCTTAGATGCCCACCTGCGTGGCGAACCATTGCTCCACTTCCCTGCGGTTGGTTTCCACCAGGGCCTCATACTGACTCCTGGTCTCATTCAGGACCTGGTTCAGGTCCACAGCAGGGGCAGCGTCCACCTCCACGTTGAGGCGGTCTCCAAGCTGGCAGCGCAGGGTGTTGACCTCCTGATTGAGAAAGGGCAAAAGTTTAAATTTCACAAAGGATCTTGGTGCTCTCCTTAAGAGAATGCAATTCAACTTCTGATCATTCTTAAGTTTTCAGGAAACTTTGTTCCCTCTGATCCTCTCATTAACCAGGATCTATATTCAATGACTAATCTGTATACTCCACTTTTTACAAAGTACTTTCAAGCTCATGACCTCTCTCTGCCCTTTGTATTAAATGCACCACTCCTCATTTAGAGATATTCAGTGATTTGGGCTCAGAGCTCATACATGGCAGGCCATTATTTAAACTCTGGTCCCCAAATGCCCAGTTCAGTGTTTTTGCTAGTATACCATATAGCCTCATATGTTTGACTCTTAAGCATGGATAATGAAAAGAACAGAGTCTAGCTGAAGAGGAAATACAGAATGCTTACTTCAAAATCTGCCATCCTGGCATAGAAGAGACTTAAAGGGTGATTTGTTGATTCCACCAGCATAGATTTTGCTGAAAGCAATAAATATCTGTTTACTTCCCTGCTGAGCATAGCTTGGTCCTTGGGCTTAGGTGGATTTCAGACAAATTTGTATTCAACCTAATCTCTACCACTTAATACATTGCTTCTAGAAGCTTCTTGAAGCCTCAATTTCTTCATCTTAAAATGAGAACTGCCTCCGGAGTTAAAGCACTTAGCACAATGTTCGGCACATACTAAGCACCTGATTAATATTAACTGTCACCATTTACATTGTTCTTGGATTTCAGGTTGCATAAAATACATGTCTTCTTTTTTGTCCAACTGACTTAGCCGTAACAGTGAGCATTTTGCTCAAGGCTGTTTCCAAGCAACACTGAACAGCAGAAAGAGCTCTGGACAGGAATGAGAGTTGCATTTTGTTCCAGCTCAGCCCTCTCTGCCTGGTGGGCCTAGGCCATCCTGGCTTCTCCAGCTACAAATGGAGAATTGGAATAGAAGATTGCTGCTGTGTACACTCTAACCAGGGTGCAGGAGAGGCTGTGGCTGCTGCCTTGTTACTCAACTTTCCTCATTACTGGGCTTGCCAACTTCCTCACTCTCATTCCTGCCTCTGGCAGAAAAATCCTAATCTCATATCACAGGTTGTTAGACTACTCATTCTCTACATATCCATTTTTGTATGCAGAATTACTTCCTCGGCTAATTGAACCTCTACTGACAGCCTGTCCTGGACCCTGTGGCAGTTATCAAACAGGCCCTGGCGAGTCTGAGCCCATCACTCTTCAGGGAACTCACCTGCTCATGGTTCTGCTTGAGGCACAGCAGCTCCTCCTTCAGGGACTCCACCTGGGCCTCCAGGTCAGACCTGCACAGGGTCAGCTCATCCAAGATCCTGCGCAGGCCATTGATGTCCGACTCCACCAGCTGCCGCAGGGACATCTCGGTCTCATATCTGTGATCATAGGAGGGTCAGGGACAGGCTGGGCAGGAATAGGCTTGGCCTTGACTCTGCTTTGGTTTGGTTTGTCAGGCAACTAGGAATTAGGGTTTATAGTTTTTATAGCCATCTCTTTTGTTTAGGTTTTCAGCATCAAGCTGGAAGAAAACGCACTGGTAATTTTATGTTTAAAGATCCAGTGAATAGACTTCTACATTCCTAGCTACTCAGGAGGCTAAGGTGGGAGGATTGCTTGAGCCCAGGAATCTGAGGATCTGAGGTTACACTGAGCTATGATCGCACCACTGTCCTCCAGCCTGGGTAACAGAGCAAGGGCCTGTCTCTAAAAAAAAAACAAAAAGAAAAAAGAAAGCCAGTGGATTTAGGATAAAAGCCAATAAATTGTAAGATTTCCAAAATAATATACTTCCACATTCTTCATTCTCATGAATGGATTCTGTGCATAGGAGAACATCAGGGGCCAACATGTCTACACTGACCCACAGTACGACTAGGGATGTCACTTCACAGACGAGAAGCAGGAGGAAAGGAAGTCTAAGGCCTGGAGAAAGGATCTCTGAACTACGGTGTGCAGTGGCTCTGTGAATCTTGGGCAAAGCATCTAGAACATAGCTCAGTCAGTGCTTGTTTAACTTGTGTTGACAATAGGCTAAAGGGAAGGAGAGCAGCCAGAGAAGAAAAACAAACAGCAACACCCCGCTTGCCCACTCACTTGGTCCTGAAGTCGTCTGAGGCCAGCTTGGCGTTGTCGATCTGCACCACAAGCCTGGCATTCTCAGACTTGCTGCACAGGATCTGGAAAGCCCAAAACATTCAAGAATGAGCAAGGACTTGGTAATTTTTCGCCAATGGCAGTCCTTCCTAATTCACGTCCTTGGAAGGATCAGGATGAGAAATCACTGCCTATCTTATTAAATGCTTTCTATATACAGTAGGTACTCAATGAATATTTCCAAAATTATATTCAAAAATCAGAACACCAAAATATGCAAAAAGTATAAGTAGATAATCTTTTTTTCTATCCTAATGAGCAATACTGAGAAGCTGACAATAATAATAGTTGACATTTATGAAAAACACCTACTATGTTTCTGGCATGATACTAGGAGCTGAGGATACAAAAATTGGTAAGCGCTTGATCCTGCCCTCAAGAAACTTTCAATCAAACGGAAAAGACAAGCAGGTAAACTAGCAGTTGCAGAGGACTGGATCAGGGAAGAAGCCACATGCTCCCAGATGTCCCAGACAACTGGGACTACTTTGTCCTAGGTAATTTCCAATCTTCCCAGTTTTGGACAAACGTTTTAGGGTCTCACTGGACACTGTGCACCAGGAGAAGCCCAGAGTTATGAAGATGAGGACAATGAAGTCAGGGTAAGTAGGAACCCAGAAGAGAGAGGCAGCCAGCAGTCCAAGGGGCAAAACGCTCAGATGAGGGAGAAAGGAAACAGCCCAATCTTTATAAAAGATTCCGTTTCCCCAGCTTCCTTTGGACTCAGTCCTTTTCTGTCACCTCAGGGTAATAATTCTGGAGCTTGGCAAGCACATGGAAGCATTCAGAAGTAGTTTTTAATTACAGCTCATTTATGCAAAGTACTGCTACCTCCACATAGACTAACACTATGCAGATATTTAGACCTAACAGTCCCAAGTCTAAGATGAGATGGGTCCTCAAGAAAACAAAATGGAAAGGCCAGTTTTCAGCTTTCCATTCACATCAAGAGCTCACATGGCTTCTCAATCACAGCTCGGATTCTCTCCCGACAACTTCCTACTGGAGGCACTGTGTTGCCCACTCCTCACCTTCTGCTGGAGCTCCTCGATGGTCTTGAAGTAGGACTGGTAGCTTGCGCACACCAAGGGCTCCTGCTGCTGGGACCGCTCCCGGATGAGGTTCTCCAGCTCCGCGTTGTCCCGCTCCAGCTGACGCACCTTCTCCAGGTAGCTGGCCAGACGGTCGTTCAGGAACTGCATGGTCTCCTTCTCACTGCCATTGAAGGAGCCCTCGCAGAACCAGTTGCAGTTGCCCACATTGGCGGGGATGTTGCAGGCCCCAGGTAGGGTGCAGCCGTGGCAGCTGGGGGGCACGCAGGGCCGGGAGGAGCAGCTGGTGCGGCAGCTCAGGCTGGGCAGGCAACAACTGTAAGACATGGTGCAGGGAGGGAGTGCCCAGCTGAAGACAGAGTCCAAAATCTCCAGGTTGTAGAGCAGTGGGTCTCCTTCCTCCAGGGAGCATTTATACCTCGTCCGTGGAGGGTGTGGCCACGTAAGGCAACCCCCACCTTTTTTTTTTTTTTTTTTTTTTTTTTTTGCTCATTTGGTGATTGTCAAAAGCCCTTCCCTACATTTGTTGTGTTTCTTCAGAAGAGTCTCTTCCCTCATAAAAGACTTTACTTGGGCTTCTCGCTAAGTCAGGACTCCTCTTCCATGCTGTGTGTCATGATGCAAGAGCTTCGTGGTGTGACTTCAAAGACCTGGACTCATGAAAGCCCTGGCCTTCATCAGTGGGATGCAGCAGGTCAAGAGACAGTATTGCTGTTCTGCTTCCTGACTTGAGGCCCCCAACTCCTTGGCACGCCTCCGGCTCTCCATGGTGAAATGGAAAAGCATAGCTCTTGCCCATGTGTCTTTTGCTAGGTCACATTTCCAAGTACTGAATTCCAAATTCATGGTTCTCAGAAAGAGGAATAGATCCTTTCTGGGGCAGTTCCTGATGGCCACGTTTCCTGATATGATGGGCCTTTTTCATATCCATGATGACGTCAATCAACCAAATAATAGATATCCACGAGGACAATTTCATCCAGGGTGATGTAATAGACACTGGGAGGGGTGGGAGATAGGACCAATGCTATAGTCAGAAGTTCTTACTTGTTGAGAACCTGCACAAGCCCAAGGTAGTGTGGACACTTTTCACAAACTAGATCCTTTTTACAAACATGATCTTCAAACATGCAGAACTGAGATGTCCATTACTCCTCACCACAACTCTTCAAGATAAATTGTATAATTCCCATTTTATAGATGAGCACACCAAGGCATAGAGGGTAAGGGATAATAAGTTGTGGAGCTAGGATTCCAAAGCAGATCTCTTTTCTTTTCATCACATATGCGGCTTAAGTATAAACGGCTTACTTCCTTCCCTTCTTCAGACAGGTCGCCCCTTTCTCCTCTCCAAGCTCTCTTTTTACCTTGACCATGACACTGTCATGACTTATGTGCTTGTCTCTCTCTCTATTTGAGTTCCCTGAAGGCAAGGGCAGGGTCTAGTTTGTCTTTGAATTCCCAGCTCTAGGCACCTGGTAGGCACTGTTGAATGGGTGTGTGTAGAGGGATGAAAGGATGAACAGGAAATAATAATCTGAGGAAGGAGTTGACAAGTGGCAAGTGAGTAGTTTACACACTGGGGAGGGCGAGCGCCTCCAGGATTGGAGGCTCTCAAGAATGGATTTGTGCTGGGATGGGGAGGCTTCTAAGAAGCAGAGGGGAGAAAAGTAGGAAGTGCAGGTGAGGAGAATAATGTGCACACAGGAATGGGGTGGGAAAGCCCAGGGCGTGGTTGAAGGACCAGGGTAAGCCTAGGCAGCAGGAAGGGGAGAGTTGTGAAGGGAAGTGGTAGATATTAAAACTTTATGGGGGATTGTATGGGGACCCTGTGGTAGGGGTCTCAATGGTGAAGTGGAGCAGCTTGGACTTCCCCAGAAGCTGTAGAGCCAATATAAGCTTTTGAACGTAAGTGTGGTGTGATAAAAGTCGTTTTAGGAAATGTTTTAGCAAATATTTATCTGTTTTAGAAAAATGAAGGAAAGATTGGAGGCAAAGAGTTCAGCAAAGAGGCTATTGTAACAGTCCATGTAAGACTAGAATTTATGGCAGGGATGATGATACAGATAAGGTTTAGTACAAGTGAAAGAGTTAGAGCACTGGGCCAAGGGAGAGTACAAAGAGAAGAGCAACAAGGAGCTGAGGACCAAACTTTGGAGAATTTCCCAATCAGAGATCAGGAGAAGGAAAAAGAATCCGTGATAAATGGAGAAATGGTGAGAAAAAAAATGATAAGAACAAGTTCGTGGCATCCCAGAAGGACAGGAAGGAGGGTGCTTCCAAGAGGAGGTGACGTCAGAAGTGCCAAGTGCAGCAAAGGGGCCGCACATGATCAGGACCATGGAAAGGGTATTGGCTACCTTGACCAGAAAGTTACCAGGACCCTTCCAGGGTCACACAGTTGTGTCTGCTGTATGCAGCGCCTGTGCACATTCTTAAAGTAATGTCCACAGTGAACTTTGGTAAACCAAGACTTCAAACACACAGAATTGAGATGTTCATTACTAAGAGAAGTTCTGCTGCAATACATTTATATATCTGATTATAAAGCTTGGAGCTTTGATCTTACCAATACAGACTTTCATATAATAATTGGAGAGTGCTTTAAGCAGATGCCAGACTTGTTTGAACTTGATGATTCACAGTAGTTTATTATTTAGGAACAATTACTGCCCATGCATATGACACCACTTCTGTTTTGTCACAAGACATTAGACAAGCCTTATTTGATATCCTAAAGAGGCAATGAGGAAAAAATTCAAGTATGTGCCTGAGGAGGCATACATTGGCCAGAAAGAGGAGGGGCTCCCTATGTCCTTGCTAGCAGAGGATGAAGCAGATGACAGAGATTCCAAGCCTCCCAGCTACAGCTACCAATCCAAGCAGCTTCCAAGCCTCCCAGCTACAGCAACAGACCAAAAACCAGATGGCTTCGCATTTGGCTCTTCTCTTCCTCCCTCTCACCTCCTAACATAGATCCTAAATATGAAAATGGCTAAAAGAGAGAGGGAAAACCCTGGAACAAGAGAGATATTGGGGATCCTAATGGTCAACTCATCCAACCCCTTCATTTTACAAAGGGGAAACTGAGGCTCAGAATGGAGAATGGAGAAACTATCATCTAGCTAGGACCCAGATCTTCTGATTCCCACTGCATTATCATCCCCATCACCATCCTACTGAAATGTTGAAGAAATGTTGAAGAATCAGTTGAAGAACTGATCTGCTATTACATAAGGACAGAAATCAAGGGCAGTGAGAAAGACATCTTGTTATCCATAGATATTCTGTGTTGAAGAAGAATTATGAGTCAACGTGTAAATAAAGATAGAATTCAGCAATAGTACAGTTTCTTGTTACTCTCTGATTTCAATTGTTATTTCTAAATTGATGATACAATTATATATGAACAATTTGGAGTAATTGAAACATAATTATATCCCATCAGATATAGATTATATCCCATCTGTTTGGAGCAACTTAGAACAATTGGTCAAACAATGGTGACTCTACTCGACAGCAATCTGCTTATCCAGAGTAAGGTACACAAAAGATAGTCACAACAAAATTAAATTGTTATTAAAATGAGGACAATTAAAAGATTAAAGAAAACACACCACAATGACACTGGATGCTGTTAAACAACAGGATTATGAATGCTTTTTTCAGCTCTCCAAATTCTTTGAAAATACATGTGTTACTTCTGTACAATAAACAAAATTAAATTCACATTTAAAATTTCAGAAGGAAATTCTTACAAATCTTCTAGAGGAACAATGAGTTGTTAAAAAACAAAAAAACAAAAACAAAAAAAACAAAAAAAACCTACAAGGCTCCTGTTCCAATATAGTTACTAAATTGCGGGCGGATCACAAGGTCAGGAGATCGAGACCACGGTGAAACCTCGTCTCTACTAAACATACAAAAAATTAGCCAGGCGCTGTGGCGGGCACCTGTAGTCCCAGCTAGTCCGGACGCTGAGGCAGGAGAATGGCGTGAACCCGGGAGACAGAGCTTGCAGTGAGCCGAGATCGCGCCACTGCACTCCAGCCTAGGGGACAGAGCGAGACTGAAGGGGTGGCCTGCCCCTCCACACCTGTAGGTGTTTCTCGTTAGGTGGAACGAGAGACTTGAGAAAAAAATAAGACACAGAGACAAAGTATAGAGAAAGAAAAGCTGGGCTCAGGGGACCGGCGCTCAGCTTACAGAGGACCCACGCCGGCACCGGTCTCTGAGTTCCCTTAGTATTTATTGATAATTATCTTTACCATCTTAAAGATAAGGGAGTGGCAGGACAATAGGATCATTGTAGGGAGGGAATCGGCAGTAAGACATATGAACAAAAACCTGTGTGACATGAATAAGTTTAAAGGAAAATGCTGTGCCTTGAGATGCATATGCAAACATCTCCATAAACCTTTTAGCAGCATTGTTTCAGCCTATCACATGGGGAGAAACCTTGGACAATACCTAGCTTTCCTAGGCAGAGGTCCCTGCGACCTTTGGCCGTGTATGTGTCCCTGGGTAGTTGAAATTAAGAGAATGGTGATGACTTTTAACCAGCAAGCTGCCTTCAGGCACTTGTTTAACAAAGACACATCCTGCACAGCTCAAAATCCATTAAACCTTGAGTCACCACAGCACATGTCTTTTGCAAGGACAAGGTTGGGGGTAGGGTCACAGATTAACAGCATCTCAAATACAGAACAAAATGGAGTCTCTTATGTCTACTTCTTTCTATGTAGACACAGTAACAGGCTGATCTCTCTTTCTTTTCCCCACACGAGACTCCATCTCAAAAAAAAAAAAAAAAAAAAAATTACACTTGAGCCTGTTGTCCTAGAAATAAAGCCTTTGTTGTGATCGGCACTCATGCCCTTGTGACAACTGCTGACTTTGCCCATTCCAAAGGTGAACTACTAAGAAGGAATGAAGGGAAATCAAGCTACCTATAGCTCATGAATTGACTGGCATGAGGTCTGAGCTTTGGGTGAAGGAAAAGACAAGGAAGAGCAACCCTTGGAGAAACATTCTGCCATTGTCTACTAGAATGGTCCAAGATCAGCTGTTAGAACCACCTCATTTGACCCGCACCCATAGACTATACCTCCCACATACATATAAAGAATAATTAAATTTCTTTTCTGGAAATACTATCTAAATCAGATAAAGACTACAAGCTTAGCATGCTGGAGCTACCAAGGACCTAACTGGTCATTTCACTCAACTCTTTCATTTTAAAAATGGGACAATTTTGACCCAAAAGGGGAAGTGACTTGCCCAAACTTGCAGAGAGCTTGTGAAACAGTCTAAATTGAAAAAGGATAAAGTAGACTAGAGAAATAAGATAAGGCTTTTAGTCTTTATGAGAGAGTTCAGGCTGAGACCACTGAATGAGGTAAGTCTCTCTAAACACTAAACCCTTAGTAAAAATGTGAACTAGAAAAATAAAGTATGCTTATTGTTAAAGGAAAACTTTGAAAAGCTGAACTATCTCTTAGCTCTAATTTTAAAATTATAATAGTAAATAGTAAAATAGTAAAAAAAAAAAAAAAAACAGTAAATAGTAAAAATCTCCTTTGGAATTGTTAAACCCATATGATTCAAGAACCTTCATGCTGGTAAATTAACAAAACACCCAAGGAAATAACTCACAATTAGCAAGAAGGAGAAGATACAAGATACAAAAGGTTAAAGCCAAGAATATTAAATATATTTAAAGAGCTTATAGGACAAAATAAGGAATCAAATCCCTAAACAAAATGGTAGTTACTACGCAAAAAATATAGGCATGTTTAAAAAAAGTCAAACAACTTCTAAAAGTGAAGAGTATAATTTAAAGTGCAAATTTTAAATGTAAAATTTCATCAGTAGGTCTTTAGTGGCTTCAAAAAGTCAAAATTTTCTTTTGATATCAATCATATTATTCAGGGTGCTAAGTTTTCACTCATCTCCTACTGAACTAATGAAATTTTAATTAAAAACAAAGTTTTAGCTCTCATAATTCTATTGGACACTTTTAGATATTTTATACTTCTCCTATTAAGTCACAGCAATTGTTTAATTGTTGCATTTGTTTTGTCAGCTTACTTTTATTAATAATTGTCCCACAGAGCTTCACAGAAATATTTTAACAGAGTTCTAGGAGTCAACACATTTAATTGTTTTTCTTTTACTTTTTTGACTAAATGACAAATCCATTTTTATAAAATTAAGTTGACTCCTAATAGTTTTTTGTCTGGGGATTGATGTAATTTTGTTAGTTTTTAAATGGGATGTCACATTTATTCATTTATGTTAAGATATAAAATATGCATTTCTGCCTCATTATTCCCTTTACTTTTATGTGTTCAATCACTTTTTATGTATTAAATTGTTCTTAGCTTTAATAACTGAAATATTGCTTTCTTA